TATAATTAATATTCTGTACTCACAAGATCGCCCAAGCATTTTGTACTGAAACCGTGACATAAGGACTGTCAAAAATATCAGTCAGTGGAAATCCGGTGGATACCAGGGCACTCAGGGATCGAGGGAGATGAGATGGCAGACAAGCTTACCAAAGCCACCTTAATAAGAGCCCCAAATGAGGTGACCAATGAGACGCCGCCCATGGAGGTGCCCCGATGAATAAAAATTACGTTTGCATCACTGAACAGATTTGTCGGGGAGTGCGCGGAGGAACTGGTAGTAGCATGGTGGCAGGAAAATTCGCTCAAGCACTATACGGACTTAGATCTTATGATGACTTGGAAGCGTCCTCAAGAACATGCTCTACCGAGATGGGCCTACCACAGGCTGATTGCAGCTTGGACTGGACACGGCGATTTCGCCAAATACCATGAAAGATTCAAGCATGAAAATTTCGGAGCCAGATCTGAGTGCTATCGAGAAAGACGCCCCTGGTACTTTGCAGAATGCTGACTAGCCCTACAACTATGGAGAAGCATTAAACGGGAAGCTCCTACCAGGGCAATTGAGATGCTGGGAGGAAAAGGTTGGGAGAAATTTATCGAATTCGCAACTGTGACGAGATGTTACATGGAAAAGGCCGTAGATGGAGAGTTATAAGCTCCTCGAGGGGTGTCAGTGGTTATTTTAGTAGTCAATTTCCGGGAAGAATAGGATAGGGTGATTTTGTTTGGGGACACTGCATCGCTTTCTGATGGTGCCTTTGGCAAGTAGAGCCATGCACGTAGGTAGTAGTGAGTCTGTATAGATCACATACCCGTATCACGCCTATTTCTTGTAGTGCATATGCCTGATACGAATAGCAATCAAACAAAAAAACGATGCCAGCAGCTCATTAATGTTACAGTCTCTACCTCTAGTCTTCGGGAAGCTTTTGGAAGTAACTCTCCGGAACTGTAATAATTGAAAAGTTACCACCATGACCATCTAAAGACGATCTTTTATCCCATCCATTCCCTTATAATCAGGGAGAGTCGGCGATTACTTCGGCATAGATATTTCGTGACATGAACCCTGGCCAAGGTGAGACGATACGAGCGTTCTTACCTTTGAAAACTCTGTTATGTGGTTTCTTTGTACCGAATCTCTTCATCATGTTCCTCAGTGTGACGAGAAAGCCTATTTCTTTCTATTTGTGCCTCCTATGTTGATACTGATCCATCGTGCGCACAATCTGCATTAGATTTCCCACTGTTGCATGACCCTGAATACTAAAGCTCTTGCGTGTGGCCTAATATATTGTGATTATGAGGAGAGGAATTGCATACAAACAGTGGCTTTATCGACATGATGTGCTTGACACTATTATAAAGTGGACCATGATATGTGTTCGCTTCATTAGACTCGTTTTCCGATGATTTCTATCTATGCGAAGGAGAATACTCCTATTTACACCTATAGCTCATCTGTCTAATTCTTATAAGATGAGGTCACCTAGGGGTTCAATTGTGACTCTACTACTCGTGTGTAAAAGGAGTATGGTCTATAAGTACTGCCCTTGTAGATAATTGATTATAGATACAAGCAAAGATGCTCCGTACTTTATTATATGCTAGAAGATAGAAAGATGTACGGACAGAAGATGGTTATGTGCCCTTGACTCAATATACTGCGGGCCACACCTAAATTACTCTCCCACAACCCTTGCCGGTTCACAATACACTCATCCCACCAATCATAGCGCGGCTATTCCTGTTTGTACAGCAGTCTACAATAACATCCTTATTAAGCGCCAAAGCATAACGTTTATGCATACCTGCATAAACGTCACTGGACTATTCCTAGATCACAACACTAATTGCCAGTAGAATACTCCCTCTTGTGATGTAAGTGTTGATATTAGCTGAAGCCCGGTAGACCTTTAAAAATAAATTTGATAAAGATTAAGTTTTGATATCTGTCATGACACGCAGAATATGGCAAACAAGAACTCAAGGTTTAAAAGGTGATGAAGCTCCAGAGCAGAGCAGAGCTGAGGCTACAACTTTTATATGTCCGAGTGTGTGAATTAAGCAAGTAGCAATTGCTGAGTCACCAGCGCTTCCATAACGCCAGACCATCGTAGGTATCCAATTCAACTCCTTGTCTCTATACCATATTCATAGCCACTTAACAGTATCACAGGTAAAGATTGGATTCAATCAGAGGGGGTCTAATGTCGGTATGTGTGAATGATGTCCATTCTTTCTAAGGAGATGGCGATGCTGTATCTATATGATTACACAATTAACACTAGAATTACACGTGATTACGCCAGTTCTACAGATCTACTCCAAACAGTAAGATATTCTATTTTATGCTGTAGAATAGTTTATATTCTTCTTCTTATCATCTACATGCAACTGTCTATCATGTCACTACACGAACCACATCTTGTATAGATCTCTATATCATCTAATTCAGCTTTTCTAATTGGCTGAGTGATTTCACATCATAACATAATGGCACCGTCCTACCAGGCCTTCGAATAAAATTTGAAGAGCCCTGCCTATAGCCATCGATACCCTCGCGCCAAATGTCGAAGCTTGTCAATACTGTGCTCATCAAGTGATCTCAGCTTATCCATGAGGGCACCAAGAGTAGGCAATTATGGTCCATATCACCAGTGAAGCTTGCCTGCTTACACTTCATCCGAATTTCATTCAGAGCGTCTGTCGGGGCATATTTCTCTGCAAAAGACCAAAGATGAGGAAGATTGTTAGTGCAAGATCCATCGAGACCAGGATACTGTGTGGGCCTGGTAAATAAATAAATTATTCAATTGTCCTGATTTGGCGTCTTGAGGTCCATGCAGGTTTTTATCGGAAGCTATGTACTTTAAGTAGGATGACTCTTTTATTAAATCATTTAATGTGTAATCAGCTATTTAGCTATGACATATGAAACATGACCAGTGCCATGTATACACGTAGGATGACTTATTGACGTTAGGGACACTCACACTCATATTTCATTTGCAGATACCGCTCGAGGTTAACCCTTACGGCGTAAAGCTTCTTCCATGCATACCCACCACAAGGAAAATCGTGAAAAACATTTGGTTATCCGAGTGTGCTTTCATCATCCCACAAATACAATATCACCGCTAGAGAGAGTGGTGTGTGGGTCTTGCTGGATTCGAACCAGCTTTCTCCTGTCTCAAATTGGGTAGGTGTTCAAGCTACTCAGAATATACTAGGTAGAACGGCCCGAATGGAGTACCACTGCACCATCCAGCCCTTATTTCTTTGAATGGGCCCGATATAGGCTGCTGTTGTAGGAACAACCGAGCCATTAATTATCCACACAAATGCCTCCCACTACCTAATTTTCTTGCTCTTAGCAAGCTACCTGAGTCCTTGAATTTTGACAATATTAATTCATGCTGTTATCCTGTCTTATTCTATGACTATGTAGGACATGCAGGTTCTCTCTGCCTACAGGCCAAGGATACCCATACCAGTAGTATATCCCCTTCTATGCCTCCCACACAGCTCCCCTCAAACAGTACCACCCCTCACAAGTCCTCATTCGATCATACACTTAGAGGAGCCCTTTGCCCTTCATTATTTCCCCTCTCCAGCCAACGAAACGATGGCCATTTGCGGGTGTATGGCAGCCGGGAAAAATCGCAAAAACCACTGGGTACAGGGCTCTTATAATACCGACATTAGGACTAAATCCGAAGACATAGTGATCCTTCTGAAGCGTTCGAAAAGGCCGGCCAGCTGGGCGCTGCAGACTTGTGGGTACCTCGGGAAATTCACACTCTGCCTTTCTAGCCTCCTTCCAACTCCTTCCCGAAGATCGTGCTGAAATATTAGAGAAGTCTTGACAGAGCGTAATTGCTGTATGGTAGCTTAGCCCAACTTCTTTTGTGCCGTCCAGGGCGCTAGGGAGTGCCATTGACTTACCGACAAAAGAATTCCTGGCTAATTTGCCGAAATCTTGGTTTTTGTGACCACAAACGTTCCAAAGTTAAAAACTACTCGAAAATATCAGTCCCAGCATGGGATTCAGAGACCTGTTCCCCCTCTCGCTCCACATCTCAGTCGCCTGTTCTCCTTCAAGTTGTTTGTCACATTAGAGCAACAGTTCCCCATAAGCCAGGAACCAAGCTTTGTATACTTGGACTTGATATCCTCCTTGAAGGTATAGATATAGTCGTAAATCTGTATTAGTAGATGGCTAGTAATCAATGGGGTAAGCTCCTGTTTGCAATTGGAGAAACTCCTTTACCTGTCTTGGAGGCGAGATGATATGTAGTTAGAAAGAAGTTGAGGACTCATATGAGGATGGTAAGAGTGGTATCATCGAGAAATCTTCAAACGGAGATATGCTTGTGTTTGCTTTCGACTCCGATTCAGTTGTGATTCTTCTTGACCATCCCAGATATGCAGAGCATACTGAGCGATTACACCGGCACCACTAGAAGGTGAAGAATTTGTCTTTGCAGGCCTTGAATTGTATTGTTAGTTTGTATGTTAGGTCGTACCGTTTGAAGAGCTTGGCAGCCCAGGTTTACTGCTTTTATCTCGCCTTTGATACAGGCATATCGCTCAAGTGCGTGACCCACAATCGGTTCATGACGTTGATCCACTTCGCAGACCGCGACTGACTCATATTTTTTTTTTGCATCAGATTTTAATTGCGTATGCAGCTGTCTAGCTATGACACAATATCAAAGAAAAGTACAGAATAGATGATTCAACGTAAGGGAAGAGCACTTATGCCTCAGTTTTCATTTGCAAGTACCACTGCGAGGTTGTGGTGGCTAACTGATTCAGCTGTCTCGCGCGTAGCAAGTTCGCCACTTCTATCTGGCGCAATCTGCTGCTGCACGTGAATATAGGCTACGGTGAGGCTTCTTGCATGCACTACATGTTTATCGGAAACAGGCTCTATTATTATCACAAAGGGTCGGGTGGTGCAATGGTTATGCGGTCTCTCGTGGCTCCTGACTACAATTTAAGGTGGTAGAGCTTGAGACTAGATTGCGTTACGGTCCATAGAGCAAAGAAGTTATTATTATCCATTTCCTTAGTGGTAAGGCGAGAGTAGATGGCCCTAGGATTATGAAGGACGTTCATTCGCTCCGTAGCCTTAGCTATAGTTTCGAGAATAATTAGCCATGTGGTTAAGGAGTTTCTTTGGCCCTCAACACAAGTGCCGGGGAATTCTTCTTTTAGATCCAGCCAGCGGGGTTGTGACTGATACCAGTGTGAGACTGGAGGATCCTTAAGAGCTGGCTGGAATTCCACAATCTTTGGAGGCATGGGAGGATCGGCTTTGTCGAGAAAATATTTTGGCAGAAGAGTCACTTTGTTTTCAATACAGGTGCATACATCATGCGTTACATTGTTGAGCGGATAGACCTGCGGCCGGATCTCCTTGGCAAATTGTTCACCGTATGACATTGTGAAGGAATCAGTTTCGGGATTGATTGGATGGGTAGTATTTTCCTCTGGAGTATTCGAATATAGTCCCGCAATTACTTCACACTCATCATCTCGAACAACTGGTGGAGAAACAATTTCGGCGAGCGAGGACTTTGTAATCTGACTATTAAGGTTGGTGGCAGCTTGTTCCCGTGGACTCCCCTTTATCGTTGACAAGACGTCGATTAACAATAATTCGACGCGGTCCATTTTATTCTTTACTTGATCCAGTACTCTATCAAATTGCTCCATTTAAGAGCTTGTTTTATTTGTCAACTCTGCGATATAGTAAGAGAATTGCTCAGTTTGTGCTTCCTGTAGCCCTTCATGTCCATCTAACGTGAGCTTGTCTTTTTCGCTAAAGCTTTTCTCTAACATGGTAGCAATTGAATCTTGGCGATTCCTTTCCAGAATCTTATTTTGAAACTTAGAAATGATGTTTAATCTTCAAAAATATATTTTTGAGGTTTCTGGGCGTGCGTAGTGGACCCAGTAAATGGTGGGTGTGTGTGTGTGAGAATGGTGTGTTATCACGTGGTGTCTCGTGGCTCCTAACTAAAATGGATCTTGTGTAGAGCTTGAGACTAATACGTGAATTCTATATCTCCTAATTGTAGGATATCTATGCGCCTATATAGGGGGGACTATTCTCAACACCTGTCAGTGGTGTCCCCTACGAACCTCCAGCTCTCACTGTAGAGTCTGCAGAGCCGAGATTGAGTAACAAAGTTCTCACTTCGATGAGGATTCCCAATCGCTTTCGCCGTCTGTATCGTCTTCATCTCTCAAAACATTCCCCTATCACCACTATCATGAAGCTAACCACGATCAGATCAGATGGTAGGGTCGGAGCCCTACTCGTCACCCACCCTTGATCATGGAGGAAAAACCATCCGATGAGTTTCCGGAGCGTACCCAGCACCCGATACGGAGATGGCGGATTGGATCAAGTCGACCTTGACTGTTACAAAGAAGGGAGATATGGATGAATATGCGTACCTCATGTGGTCCCGGTGTCTAGGCCTCGCCTGGCTGGGATTGCAGGTTTTTTGAGACTTTTTCCCGCGCACGCAGTTTCCATTGCTACCATTTTTATTTTTTTTGGGTAGAAGGTTCCGTGGAAAAGGTGGCTGAATTCCACGGGTAAATACTGAGCTGAATGGCTACTCATCAAGGGGAATATATCAATGATCTTTCAAGTAACAAAAGATGATAGGAGCGCTGTACAAGGTGTGGCCTAGGTCAGAGAGGAGCCCAATGTGCTAGATAGTCATAGACTCATGTAGTACAATAAAACACACACACACACAATTTTTTGAAATTCGAATTTTCGAATATTCCCCTTCTCCCCCTCTCCCTCCCTCTCGCGCTCGTCGCATCCCTTCAATAAATTGTAATCGAGTCACTGGCATTTTCGTCATGCCACCTGTTCGAAAAAAGCTCCCCAACTCAATGTTGGACAACGCGAGAGTCCGCCCGAGGGCTCCTGCAAAAACACCTGGCCTCGCGCAAAAATTATCAAGCCTATTTGCGAGTGAGGCCTTTATCCCTGGGAAGTCTCCAAACCTTCCCGATCAAGAGATGACTGATTCTGACCCGATCAGAACAGAAATAAATGGTCAACAGACCACGAAACCCGCCGAGCTGGCCCCCGAGGCAAGCAGTCCCAGGAAAGGAAAGGAGGTCGTCAGAGAAAAGACGACCGAACGTGCAGAATTGCCTGCCGGAAGAAATGCTGTGCCAGCCTCAAAAGGCGCAGCTTCGACATCAGCACCGGAATATCCACCGGAGCTGCAATCAGTGATGGAGGCCGAGAAGCGTCGCACGACGCAAATCAAGGCCCGTTTATCAATCTGTTCCACTGCAATAAGCAGTGTTGAAGCAGCACTTTCGCCTCTCTCGATTGGCGACGAAAAAGAGTTTGTAGACGGCATCAAAGTCTACCTTCGAGCGGCCATTGGCCAGTTCATACAATCAGGCCCAGGGAGCACTCCACCAGCTCTCCCTGCGCGCCCCAGCAACCCTCCTCCGCCGAGGGCTCATGAAATTAGGGTACCTAACCCTTCGAAAACCCAGGCTCCGGCACCAAAGACGACTTGGGCCACAGTAGCCCGTGCAGGTCTAGGCCGCAGCGCCGGGCCGTTGACTACAAAGGCAGCACCGCCCGCCCCAAAAGCAAAAAGTGCCAATCTGAGGACAAAAGTCGACACGAGACTTTTTCTACGCCTCAAAGCTAACCACCCCCACCGACTCCTGTCACCAGCTGGCGTAAGATTAGCTGTATCACAGGTGCTTGGTACCGCTGCCGACGACATCACGTTGGTTCAGCGGGTCAAAACAGGCTTTGCGCTGACAGCAAAGAACGAACTCGCTCGGAAAGAGCTGCTAGATTCCTCCATGTCACGGAGCGAATCTGGAATCAAACTGGAACCAGCGTCAAATCTGGTTGCCTTGCAAATTGCCACCGTACCGGTGACAATAAACACACTTGCAGGTCCCATCGAGATCACGGCAAAGATGGTTGCTGACGAAGTCACGCGAGTGACGAAATCGGTTCCGTTTCTTGTCCGTCCGCACGGGTACTGCAAGCCTGGGGCGCCATACGAGAGCTGGCAAGCCCTCTTTCCTCGCGAGTCCACGCCCCGACCTGGATTCCGCCTCTTCGACGATTCTGGAGCTGCGAAGCTCTTCCGAACTCGTCAACAACTCGAACAGTGCAAACGTTGTCTTGGCTATCACGCCAGCCGCGGATGCTCCCGAGCTCCAGCTTGCTGGAACTGCGGCTCAAAGATGCACTCGGAAGTGGAGTGCAAGGCCCTCACACGATGTCGCAATTGTGGGGGACCTCACCGATCGGACTCTCGGCACTGCCAAGCCAGACCCAGAAAAGATGGACCGGTGACAAAGGAACAGCTCGCAGCAATTCGCAGAGTCGAGCAAGAAAGATATGCAGACTTTGCCCGTGTCAAAGCTGCATACAAAAAGGACGAAGAAGCGAGGAACGCCTCTGCGAAGGACGTCTCCATGGCGGAGGGATCGGGTTTCGGAATTCTAGAAACCGAAGAAGAAGTTTGAGGACTCGGCAGTCCTTGGTGAAGTCTACAACAACTTTCACAACAAAAAGCAGGAAACCAGCCGACAGCAAAGGTTACCTGAGAGCTCATCTTTCGCTCTCAGCGGAGATTAGGAAAAGTCACTTGGAAGATGTGACAGGGAAGGAAACGGGTGAGAAGCGCGGGATCTGGACCACATATGAAATTCTTCTAAATTGTTATTTATTTTTTTCAGTTTATTTCAGTTTTTTGTTTGATTTACGCTTTGATTTTAGTTTTGATTTAAGTTATGTTGTTAACTTCATCTACTTTTGTTGAGGTTCCCGCGGTTGGAATGAGTTGGGCCTGTACGCAGAGAACCCCACCGGCTCCACCAGTCTTGTACCGATAGTGGACCTAGAGCTTTAGCTTAGGACTTTAAAATTAAAAAAAAATAAACACACACATTATGCGCCTATATACATAAATACTCTGTTACCCCTCAGCTCCATTAAAATCTGCTCTTGTGAGATCATGCGGCACTAGCATTTTGTCTATGTGCCGTACATCCAAAATCTGATTAGTCCGTGACAATGTAGATCTTTTCAGGATCCACAACGGCTCCTCATTGCCGCGCTTGCCAATTTTTTTTTTTTTCATTTTATTGTCCTGTCTGAGTCTATGACTATGTAGGACATGCAGGTTCTCTCTGCCTACAGGCCAAGGATACCCATACCAGTAGTATATCCCCTTCTATGCCTCCCACACAGCTCCCCTCAAACAGTACCACCCCTCACAAGTCCTCATTCGATCATACACTTAGAGGAGCCCTTTGCCCTTCATTATTTCCCCTCTCCAGCCAACGAAACGATGGCCATTTGCGGGTGTATGGCAGCCGGGAAAAATCGCAAAAACCACTGGGTACAGGGCTCTTATAATACCGACATTAGGACTAAATCCGAAGACATAGTGATCCTTCTGAAGCGTTCGAAAAGGCCGGACAGCTGGGCACTGCAGACTTGTGGGTACCTCAGGAAATTCACACTCTGCCTTTCTAGCCTCCTTCCAACTCCTTCCCAAAGATCGTGCTGAAATGTCAGAAAAACCTCGATAGAACGTGGTTACTGTATGGTAGCTTAGCCCAACTTGTTTTGTGCCGTCCAGGGCGCTGGGGAGTGCCGTTGACTCATCGACAAGAGAAGCCCTCCTGGCTAATTAACCGAAATCTTGGTCTTGGCGCCCACAAAAGATCCAAAGTTGAAAACCCCTCGAAAATAACAGTTTCAGCATGGTCTTCGGAGACCTGTTTCCCCTCTCGCTCCATATCTCAGCCGCCTGTTCTTCTTCAAGTTGTTTGTCCCATTAGAGCAACAGTCCCCATAAGCCATGACCCAGGCTTAGTATTTTTCGACTTGATTTCCTCCTCGCGGGTATAAATAGCGTCGTAAATATGTAGAGAGTGATGGCCGCTAATGAATGAGGCAAGCTCCTGTTTGCAATTGGGGTGACGCCTTTATCGGACGGCGAGGCGAGTTGATATAAGGTTAGATCGGGGTTGAGGACTCAGAAGACAATGGTGAGTGCTGCATGGTTGACAAGTCGTCAAAGGGAGATATTCATGTGTTTGCTTTCGACTTCGATTCGGTTGCGATTCTTCTTGGCTATCCTAGATATGCAGAGCATACTGAGCGATTACACCGGCACCACTGGAAGGTGAAGAATTCGTCTTTGCCGGCCGCGCTTGCCCATGATATTATCATACTTATTCCAGAAAATGAAAGCTTGGAAAGTGTGAAGAAGTCGGTTGTTGGACTGCAGTCATTCCTTAATATCTGCGTTCATGACATATTTGCTAGTGCCTAGCTCACACTAAGCCCTATCTCAATGGTACGCTGTGTTACAGATTAGATTATATTTTTATTATAGTCCTAACTGAATCAATAACTGTAGAGGTGTCAGGGGATGAATGATCGCGGTCATAAACCATATGATGAAAAGATTTACTACAGATCTAGAAAGAGGTTCAAGGTGGAGAGGACCTATACACAGCTTGCTTTACAGGGGAAACATGAGTCCGAGCGCTTTTGCTAATGATCTACACCTTGATCTTATTGCATGTTCCAGCTACCAAGTACAAACGATCGCCACTTGGAATGACTTAACTCCGCTTCAATGCTATTGCTTCGTTCCCTCACAAGAGGACTCCTAGAATCTAAAGATAAGAGACCAGCCACATATTTAAGTTCCAATTGTTTAACTTTAAACTTTGCTCTCATGGATAGCGAGGGAGTTGTGTTACAGTGTGCAATGTGAATTCAAGATCGCCGTCTGCCGTAGGTGTCCTAATAATGACTAAGAGGTAAGTGCACAAGGTCAACGCTTTAAAGAGAATATACGTAGAGGACTAAACTAGCGAGGTGCCAGGAGGTTGAGGTATTAGAAATAAAGAATAGACAATGTAAAGTAGTAATTTGCAGGTAAGATGATAGAAGTATAAGATGATAAGATCATTCGAGGTATACAAAGATTACAAGTTGCGAAGCTGAAGAGCTAGTCTGTGGTAGCACCAGCTCCCGTAAGGACAACGAATCAATGCGACAAAACGCAACATATGCTAGAGTAAGATTTATTCATGACCCCAACCCATCTCACCCCAGCTGTTTAAGGTTTCACGAGAACCGTCTCCTTTGAGTTTTTCCAAGCCTGAGATTTCATAACGGCTTGCCATGACATTTCTCCTCGAGCCTGATTCAAAAATGTCTCGTCATAATACATTGCCTTTTCGGCCTTGATGATACACTCTCAGGCTTTACATTATCACGCTCGTGTCACGTATTCTGGTAGATAAATCTAAAGTTCCTAATTCTTCAGACTTCTCAGGTGTACTTAACCAAAGAAGTTAGCGATGGGCGAACAATAGACTTCAGGCATTCGTGTACGGACAAATTTGATCCAGCTCTGAGGAAAAGCAGGCTTTCAAAAATCCGATCTTTAGCTTAGGACCTATTCGTAATAAAAAAATTCGATCGTGCCTTGCTTAATGTAATTACGTCAGCTCTAGTCCTGCCTAAATCTTTACCATATATGCAGATATGTAAACAAATCGAATAAATTTATGTATTAGTATTATTGAGTATTACACAAATCTTCACCCGTCTATGGGACAACGAAACTCCCTGCTGTCCAATACAGCTACCTCCTCGCCTTGCATATGTTCTAGACACGATTGGTGATAGGTATGCCTACAAGCCAGCACTATAAGAGGGCCTAGATCTAACTCTTTCTGACCCACTAATCTCTTGGTTTTAAGGGACTCTATCTCGTCATCCTCCATGCCTACATTGTTGGCGATCTTGAGACATGGGTTTTCGTCGACCGTACTTCCGCTGGTCATCTGGAGACGGGCCCGGCCTTTGCCACGTTCAATGTGACCACCGGCTAGTTCAGTGCTACGTTCTTTCCTTCGCTTTATATTCTGCATTTCTCGCTTCTCCCATTTCGAATAAATGTCACCGGGTGCTTTTGGACCCCACAACCGTCGACCACAGCCTTCGCAATTGGGGCCACGAGGTCTCCATCCGCGCTGGCGTGCGAGATTGGCGACCTGGACACTGAGAAATAGGTCTTTTTCCAAAAATCGATTTGCTAATCTCAAAATACTCTCTTCATATGCATAAGCTGAGAAAACTGATGCTAGAACAGCCCGGAGGTCGCTCAGATTAGGAGATGTTAATGAGGCTCGGGCGAGAAATGCTTGAAGTATCTTCATGAATGAGATACCAGTACTGGAATTGTTAGGCGATGATGTTAAGGTTAATAATGCAGTGAAAACGCGTTGCGCGGGTGTGCGCATGCGAGTCAATATGGGACCATGTTCTGAGATTCCGCGGAGTTCCGCTTTTTCAAAGCTTGAAGTCAGATTTCGAGTGATCTGTACAATTGCATCGATGATATCAAGCCACAATACTTCTTCTGGAAGGAGATTTTGGCTTAGTGTTGCCTTTCTTGAGGCAAAAACTAGCCCAGAGCTGTCAGAACGTTGACTATAATTTTGGCATAGCCAGATTCCAACATCTGTGTACTTGATAAGGGAATTAAGCAATACTTTAATTGCATTTACATTTGTAGAAAGGAATTCTCCAGCTAGGGCTGTTACAAGCCCTATAATCAAGTTCTCTATTTTTGTCAAGTGTTCGACTAGTCGGTTCATTGCTTCATTAAACTGGCCGTCTCTAGTCATTAGCATGATGGCTGCGTCAACAACTCCACTCTTCTCCATATACGGTAAGACTTGTTCAAGACGTAAATCAGTTATTTGAACTTTCTCGACAAAGGTCGCGACAAGAGATGGTTCAAATCTGCACATAAGCTGCAGATATAACTCCATAAATTTCGAGTTTAGTAACTTGGTGGTTTCATCCTCTTTCTTATTTGTTTCAAATAGAGTGCGAAGATATATGTACTGTAGCTCAGATTTATCAGGCAGCGCACCTAAAAAATCCTCATGTAATACGGGCGCATGTAAATCTATCGTTTGTGCTGTCTTTACTGCATCCAAATTTACGAGTTCTACAGCATGAGATTGTAATATCTCATAAATTTCTTTGACATGCCGTTTAACTAAGCCTGAATGAGGCCTCAAGCAGTCTGATATGCACTCAAAGACAGAATATCGATCGTTCGGATCTTCAAAATATGTTTCCAGTAGATTCCTGGAGAGCCTTTCTGATCTATATATTCCTTTGAGGACCCGGAAAAATCCCACTTTCCGAAAGAGTGGCAACAGAGATTGTAGGTTGGAAGGACGATATGCTGAGAGGAGATATTCAACACTTAGTTGCGCATCATCAGAAATATCGTGCCCGGGATAGTTACAGAGTCTTTGGAGGACATTATTTAGAACAGAGCTTGAAAGAAGGAGATATTGTGGAAATTTAGGTAAGTTTCTAGCAATGAACATGTCAAGATAAATAGTATCATCGGCTGGAAAATCTGGTTGGTTCAGAACTTCTTGAAGAATGGTAATGATGTACTGCCTGTTAATCAGAAGTCCAAGTGTTTGCTCTTTAGACAAATCTAGACCTGCCACATCACACTGAGCTTTATCCGGAGTGTCGTTCAAAAATGGATCTTCAAACGCTTCGTTGAGAACACTCAAGAAGCTTGGAGTATCGAATTTTAGAATCGTACGAAGATATGGAAATGAGGGCTCAGATGCTAGGCTGGTTTGGGTTAATACTGGCTGTCCCGTGGTTTGGGGCCAAGTTATGGTCCTACTAGAGAATAGGAACCAGTACAACTCAGCCTGCGCTTTCCGTGAATCTAGAATACTCAGTGTCTGTCCCGTAGGATAAACCCGACCTGTCAACGTGAAAGACAAGTAAGGAAATATCTTTGAAGGGTTGGAACCGGAAAACATATCTTCTGCGTCACATCCTGTGCCTATGCCCTTGATATTTTTTTCGGGCGGAATCAAAAGAGCCAGGAGTTCAGTAAGAGGGGTGATATAGTCGAATAACGCTCGATTCCAGACAAAGATAAAAGCATCATATAGGTTATGCTCTTTACACAAAGTAGTGACTTGATCTATATCCAGCGTGGAGGGATCAATATGGCAAAGAATTTCTTCCAGTTGACTTTCTCGCTTTTGTTTTACGAAATGAGTTATCATTCCCTTCACAACTGCAGGAGGTAGGATGGTGATGCGTTTCTCTAGAATTCGAGGCTCAAGTGAATCGCAAAAAATACCACTTTGACCATAGTTCTGGAACCACTCAAACATTTCATCATATAGAAATTCATTGTCTTGGACATTAAGACAGGCTTCTAAGCATGCATCGGCAAGATCTTTCAAATAATTCAAATTCAACTCCTGCTGTGCGTTTTGGTGACGAAAAGTGCGTTTTAAGGAAACCATCATAATTTCAATTAATTTGTCTCCAACGATTGAATGGCGCAGTTCAGAATTCTCTGGTAGTCCGATAATAAGCTTATCAGCATTTCCAGCATAGTATGATGTTGCTAATCTTATCGCTTCTACGTATTTACCTTCTTCCATTATAGCTATAAGTCTGTCTGCCCAATTCGACAATGTTCCGATCGATACATCGTTGAAACCTAGAAGGAACATTCGACTTTTATATGCTTTAAAACTCATGTAAAATGCGTCTGCAGTGGATATAGACATGAGTGAGTTATCGTCATCGGATGGCTCCACAAGGCCATTTATTTGCTTTGAGAAGAAGTCTTGATGATAAATATATTTAGGAGCAAGGTCAAGTGCTTCTACAACTCGCATGTTGCCATCTTCAAGGATAATCAAGCGTTGAGTGATGGTAAGCACTGTCAGAACTGATCGACTGAGCCATTGGACAGCTACGATAGCCTCCTCAGATTCCCATCGACTGCGAGATCGAAAAGTTAAGCTGACTGGTTTGTCGAGTGCATCAACCTCGTCTATGTCTAATACCATCAATATATTTGACCAACAGTAGACCAACTTTACTTTAGAGAAGTGTTGTCCACTTTCAAGATCTGGGCTCTTTAACTTAACGGCCGGAAACCAAGCTAAGCAGCCACTAAGTGGTCTGCCAGTATCTATTTCTTTTGGCTTCACAATTTTGTGCTGAGTCTGCGCTACTGGAGTTGTTGAAACAATCACGAGTAAATGAGGAGTCAGAATAGCGGTGAGGCCTAGTGTATCCGTTTCTTGCTCGACATTTCCCAGTGGAAGAGGCGCCAGGGCAAAGATGGTGCTTGGACGATGCGGTCTTCCACTAACTTTGGACAAACCTGGATATCGTCCTAAAATTCTGGTGGTTTTGATCGCACGAGTCACAGATCCGAGGCCTCTAGTCGCGAGGTGGGAAAATGCCATTCCACGCTCATCAGCAGAGACAAGAGCTGTGTGCCTTGTACCTAGAAATCCGAGATGGTGGATGGCTACATTTGATAAGTGACCACTTGCATTTGATTTGGCAAGTTCTGTTGATTCGAGGCCAGGAATATGGAGAAATGGGCGGGCAGTCCTATCCATTTCCCAAGTGAATATAGAGCCATTTGCATGTCCACCAGCAATGACTAAATGATCGGCTGATATGGCTAAGGATGTAATTGGTCCACATTCCACAGCTTATTTTGTTAGTAGTTTTCAATTTAGGTATATGCGAAACATACCCTTCGTTCCAGGTCCGATGATAGATTTGAGGTTCTGGTGATAGTCAAAAGTTAAAATTATTCCCTTAGATGTTCCCAACACCACGGACGTGGAAACAGATATACATGTAGGTACACCTAGATTTCGTTTGCCAACTTCCGAAAAGGCTTGTCCATTTATCTTTTTCAATCTTGTCCACCGGATAACGTCCCACGGAGGACTGGAATCTTGAAAATCAAGATGTATATGGCTACCGACAGACGGGCTCTGAGAATGTTTTGGAGAATGCGAAGTGCTAGTTTTGGAAGCGGAAAATGTTGAGCTCAAAAGCCGTGACTGAAATCTTCGATCAAATGGGCGAAAGGATGGCGTTGGACTTTCAAAGTTGCGCCGCGAGTTGATTGACGGACGTAAACTAGCCCTGCCAGGAGAAGAAACAACAGAGCCCTGTTATAGTCAGAGTTCGCTCTTAAATAGGCCAGACTGTGCTCACTTGGACGGATGGTGAATCATCAGGTATCGACAGGAAAGAACCGGTAGGGCTAGTAGATTTCCGAGGTGTGACATTAAATAGTATTTTATCATCTAAAGCAGTCTCTGGGTTATTATTGAGCTTGCATCGACTTTTATCATCCTCTATGGGTCGCAGTCTTTCCGGGGTAATGTCATCTTTCTTCGCTATTGCCTGGCTACACCCAATGGCTACGAATGGCTTGTTCCTGTCATCAAGAGTTCGTAAGGTTTGATTCTTACCATTACCAACGACCCTATCTTCCTCCTCACTCGCATTTCTGTTCACGGATGAGGAGCTCATTGAGAATAGCTCATGGTTTCACCTGGCAGTTCGCGTCACTCCTGAGATGAGTGAAATGAACTACTAAGCTTGCACACTTTCGAATGACCAAACCTTTAAAACCTCGGCTTCGAGCTTGACCTCATAATATTGAAGATACTTTGCTCAGGTCTGTCCACAAAGCTAAAAGTTTATCGGGAATCATAAACCTTGTTTTGGAAGCTCGCTTACTGCTAAAGAATAGTTGCTTGGAGAGGAAACAAGTGATTCAACCGCATAGTTTGTCTCTAGATGAGTTGGCCAGTTGATCAGCCCAATGATAGTAGCTTATTAGGCAGATCTGGTACGCAAATCCATTTTTACCAGAAATACTGGTTAGCTGATCTGTCTCAAGCGCCCACCGTTTGAAGCGCTGCTGTAATCGTAAGTGATCTTTACCAATCACTGCAGCCACCACATCATAGGCTTTTACATTTCATATATGTTTTTAATTAATTTACAATAGTTCACACCTAACGAATACCACAGATGCCTTCCATCGGACCGCAACTGCCTCCACAATTAGCCAAACGGAAAACTTCTAAAGATGTGTCCCATGATCCATCTTCTCCGCCATGCAAGCGTCAAGCTGCATCCTCAAACTTGGGATACGCCGAACCCATTCAATCGCACAAAAATGCTGACGAGGTAACATTGAATTTAGATCCCGATAGTAACAATAATATACACGACTCAATCAAAGATACATCTCACTCACGAACTTCGAGTCCTACACCACCATTATTATCACGTATAGAGCCAGAATCGTCTAGAAAACTAGATACCGAAGATTCACCCGCATGCTCGGGAAGTGGCAAGCACTCACGAGTCTTTGGCCCTACTCTTCCCCCAACCACAAAACGTGCCTCGCAATCGGCAGCAGATTCAGGCGACGAGATTTCTTCCGATTCCGAAGACGACTACCAACCTCCGTTACCTCCGACAACAGGCATTCCGGCCCAAAGTCATCTGTACCCGCAAGCTCCACAGTCTCTGACAGCTCCTTTGTATGAGGAGACGCCGGAAAGGCGACCACAGCGTGATGATTGGATGCTGGCGCCTCCCACTTCGGCTGACCAACGCACGTGTAACGACCCGACCAAGCTGCGCAACCGCAAATTCAGGTCGGGACCTAGTGCTATGTCTGCCAATAACCAACTAGGAGTTAGTACGATGTGGACAGAGACAGCAGACGAGAAGCTTCGGCGCCTCGAAGATGAGGTTCTAGGCCGATGCCCAGTCAACGCGGCGGCCACAGGGTCCAAGATGAGTACAGCTCAGGCCCGTCGCGAGAGGCGGGAAACTCAGGTTACAGAGGAGCGAATTCAGGTCTACAACAAACAAAACAGAAATAAGAGTCTACTCGCTGAACGCGAAGCTGCCCAGGGTCGCGGCGAGCTAAATAAGGAGGATGCAGATGATCCAAGTCAGCGCGGATTCGATCGCGAGAAAGATATGGCGCTGGGTGGATACATGGGCCAAGGCAAGCGACAGGAACTCCTAAATCGCGCTGCTAGCTTTGGCAGCCGCTTTCAAAAGGGAAGTTATTTGTAAAGAGGTCAGAGGTCCTCAATCAAGTTTTATGCCCGTGCTCTCATGTGCTATTACGTACACATTAATAATTATACTGGGCAGCTACGAAGAAGTACTCTATGATTTTAATGTAGCGTGAGGCTCGAATTCTGCCTGCTGAGACAAAAAAGTCATCTCGGCTCTTACAAGTCGATAAATTGTCTGACATGCTGTCTGTTACCCTCTTAGCAAAGATTGACGAACTGTCATTCTGTGACATAGATGTATCCAGTCTTAAAAAATTACTCACTCACCGGTTTAGGGGCAATTTTTGTGGAAAGCAAATCTATTGGGTGGCAACATTGAAAGCGTTGCGTACAGTATGGCTAGAGGATAAAGCGTAAACACGTAAAATACGTGAGGGAGCAAAATGAATATACTACTGTAACATACGTCTGCAATGTATTTGTAGAGCAGAGTGAGAATATTTTATCGGGCAACATAATTGTTGTTGAGGTTTTCTCAAATCTCTGACCAGCCCAGCCTGCAGTTAATTGAATTGGGCTCCATCGCTCCCATTGCTGTTACCCATTCCAATATTTTGATGACCCTTTATCAGCCGAACTATTAACTAATCGTGCACGACATTCATGAATCTCGACATGAGGCTCTCAATACCAAATTCTTATAGACAAGGTACTACTCGTTAGACAGTATTTACATGACCAATGCCATGGGCTGATATCTTTATGATAAAGTGAATACTATATCACCAAAACCTATTCGAAAGTGTTGTAGACGATCAGAAAATTTCCCGTCGAAATCTATATCGTCACTATTTGAATGATAAAACGCGGATAGCAAACGATCCACAATTTTTGATTTGGACGACATTGTATTATTTCGGGCTGGTGCGTACATCTCTATTTGAATGTACCCGAGAATGCGGTCACATTGATTTAGGCTCCGCAAGCTATAATAAGCGCTACTGTCAATACTTTATCCGAGGATTTCCCGAGATTGGCACTGGTGTAGCGCTTTATTGCTGACAAGCAACTGTAGCACTTTCGCATAATTTAGGTAGGAAGTCTGCTGCTGAGCTGTTGTCTAAGTTTGGTGGAATTAAGCCTAACTACGACATAATTGAAGGGCTAATTTGATGTCGTTTCTACAAGATGTGTCATAATATTTATTAGTTAGTTATTTAATGGTAACTTGTAAATGGAGCGAATTAGTATGATTAATATCGATACAGCAATATCTTCCTGATTTTGGACACGCTTAGTTTCTGTGTCAGTTTCAAGGTCAATGATCTCATCTGTGAATACCTTCTTCGAGCTGAGATGGCGATATAGGATTAGAAGCGCTAGTTTCAGTGACAGGTTGTCGATTATGGCGATATAACGGAAATCTTGGTAAATGAAGATTTCGAAAGGGATTGGAGGTATGGTTATCTGGTTGAGGTAGCTGATTCATTTCGTGGTGGGTATTATTGATACTTGTCTGAGTTGTAACATTATCACTGACGTTCCCAGATGACACTTGGGTGCCTCTAGTAGCAGCAGAGCCGGAGTTAATGTCACCATGTCTTGGCCGAATTAGCCTGGAGGCTGCTCGGATACTATTCCACAAGGATGGCGACTGCGGGGAGACGTGAGTACGATCGGCTCTTCTTCGAGTGGGCCTCTCTATCTCCATTTCTTCTGCTTCAGGACGAGTCTTAGGTGTGTAATAATCTGCCTTGCAAAGGGGGCAGCAGGCACGACGGCTAGTCAGCCATGGATCTAGACATCCAGCATGGAAGGCGTGTCCACAGCTTAAGCCGCGAATTTCGTCTTCTTCTTCCAAGGTGTCAATACAGATTGCGCAAGAGTCGCCTGGTCCAGAGAGCTGTTCGGATACGGCTGCAGCATTGATCTGATCTTCTTCTTCATCTTCTTCATCATCTTCTTCGTTTGAAGCTGCATTAGGTCTGTGTGTCTGCTGGTCCTTGGACAACTTTGATGTCGGAGGTAGATCATTAGGATTTAGAGCCTCTCGGCTGTGAGAATGTACATCTTTTTCCGATATCTGAGAATCAACTTTGATGGCGAGAGCTGGAGGTGAAGGTTTCGTTGAGCCGTTATTATCAAGTTCAGCTGGTTTGATTTCATCATGATGATCAGCAGTGGGACTGATGGGCGGGGTGGTAGCAGAATTTTCTGGGTGTATTAAACTTGCAGCCGTACTTGGATGCATGGAGACGCCTCCAGTTGTGGGCAAACCCTCGCGCGCTCGCGATGCTACCCATGATTTGTACTTAGTTAATGGAAAGCGTTCGTTTACTTCGTCCATAGTCATGAGCTTCTTTTCCCTCCTTCTACGATGGGGTCGGTTGTGCATGTTATCAAGGTTGATGTTATCCGCATCGTCACCATTTCGAATGGCCCGATTACGAGCGTTGTACCGGAAGCAGTACTTAACGCCTACAATGATCCTGAAGTTGATTAAGCAATTACAGCTTGCGATACGTGTAGATGCGATGCAACTCACCATAAATTTGTGAAGACAACTCCGAAGCCAAGTGCGACGAAAAATAAGAGAGGAGAGCTGGTTGGTCCACCTGTTGGCTGCTGACCGGTCATGGAGGTTTGTGATGGCGAAAGGGCAGGATCCGCTGTGTTTCCAGTAGATTGCGAAGTTGATGATGTAGCGGTCATATCTTCTTGGCGAGCGTGTAGCTGTCGGCCGACTATGTTGACAAGGTCAGGTATGATCAGATTCATGACCGCCATTTCGGCGTCGGAGGGATGAGGCGTTGATAGCGCGTAGCTTGTGCAGCAGAGCCAATGTTGCTAGCGACCTGAGGAGAGTGCAACCAATAAATACTAAGGCTTTACTGATTATATTTTGATTGCCGTCGCGAAGGAGCAGAAGAGAGTTGGATGGATTTAGATGGGTAGACCAGTCGGCCTATAAGGACTTGGCGAAGATTACTTGACACATTCGTAGTTGATGGAGATATGATGGTGGATGGATGGGAAGACGAGGGGAGAGATGGGAAGATTATTAGAGATCGTAGTGGTTAGTGGATAAGAGAGCGCAGTCCCCTGATTTGACTCGTTCTGGTTTGGGATGAAGAACTCGACTTGAGTGCTCAACCCTCCACACCTTAAACGTTAGGCGAGGTATCTCTTTCCAGTCAGTATGACGGCGATCATCAAAAGCGTGTAGTGAACAATTGTACTAAGGAAGGCGACAATGATATGGACCGCTCGCTCCCGTGAAGAGGATACGAATGAATGGTTGCGCGAGGTGAAGTAGGCGAGATGGTGGGGCGAGGAGATGATATGTATGTATGGGGATTGATGAGGGTCAATGGGGAGGTCGCCTGATAGCCGAGCGGATGAAAATAGCCAAGTGAAAAGTTATATATTAAGATCAAAAGATGGCCGGGGGGAGGGGAGAGCGAGATGGGGGGGGGGTAAAGGACGGACTGGCTACCTGAGTGGCCCGGCTGCACATCGAAACTTCATAGGGGCGGGGATAAATGGAGCAAGCTTGGCCAGATGCAAGATGGAGGGAGGTGGGTGGGGGCGAAGAGACCAGAGAAAATAACTTGAGAAGATTTAGGATAGACGCCTCCCTCGTCCAAGGACAGGACGGAGCTGGCACTGGACAGCCAGGGGCCAGCGAAAGAATAGGTTTAGCAGTAGCAGGTGTAGTAGCAGCAGCGGAAGGCAGAAAGGAATAATGTCTACAGCTCAGGTGCTAGTAAGATGGACTTCTGTGCCCTGGAGGACTGGGGGGAGATCATAAGGATGTACTTGAGAGGTCTAACCACAGCCTCATCTCAAACTCACCCCAGAGCGGCTCAAATGTGGGAATTCTGAATAACGACAAAACACCGGACGATGACTCGCGCCGACCTCTCTTGTCTCGGCCACAGAAGTGCGCTCACCGGCTCCAGTGCGAGAATGTAGCATGCGTCGCCCTCCGCCATCTAGCGTATAGCTTGGATGGAGTGCTTTCCAATGTCTACATCCGCGAAGTATCTTCGTCGTCGCAACTTGGTCCGCTACCTCTGTCTTAACAGGCGACGCCGATGGCTTCTCTCACCTCCTCCGCTCACTAGCCACTCCCCTGTGGCCTCCCTAACATTCCCCTTTAGCCAAACACCCTACCCTATCAGTGACACCAGGATGCACTACCCGGATCATCATGATGAATCACACTGGGATCAAGGGCGAAAGCGCGCCGAGCCACGATGCGAGGGACTTGCTGCAAAGACCCAGCGGCCCTGAAACCATGGGACGTGGTGCTTTCCAATACTCAAGTGCTCATGCCGAGCACGGAAAAGACAGCCGAAGGACGTGGTTCGGGCAAAAAGAAATGGAGAGAACCCAAAGACAACTCCAGAAGCTCAGTCTACCAGTAAGCTAATTTGAAAAGACCTGTCGACACGACACTCGACGTCGCCGCTGCTTATCGACAATGGCATTTCCGCCTTTTAGCTTGGCGGCGACGCTCTCCCCGTCCATTATCGCCTCCATTCACACCTTTCTCCACTTGTTCCCCTTTCCCCTCGCACCGGCAAGCCTCTAAAGCCACCCCCACACTAGAGCCATAATGAATTATTCCCTTGAGCCCTCACGGTCCTCCGATTACTGCTGATCCCCTTGCCGTTCGCCAGACTCCTCGGTCGATCAAATTTATTCATGTCAACTGATCCTGTGACGGGTCCCCCGCCCCCCGGACAGATTTTATCGCACACCTTGTACAGCATTTAGTCATCTGAAGTGATATGCGTGCGAGTTGCGAAGTGGCTTACGATAGACTATGGAATCAAAGCACGCCTGTAATCTTTAATCACAGAATGCCCGTAGAGATCGTATAGACTGTTACTAATTGTTCCTTCAGCTCCCTAGTCCTAATAGAAAACCCCCAATGTTGCAAGCACGCCAATACATGATTACATAATGTGATTATACATAATTTCCTTAACGCAGTGTCCCGTGACCTGGACACACGGCGACCGCGATTAACAGCCAAACCTCTATCAGCCTTGCCCCGTTACAGTTTCCTCATGAGCAATTGACCTCAACCAGTCCGTCTGATTACTACAACATGCCGCCTACCCGGCTCCCAGCTTCGGGCAATCCGCTGTAAGTTAGTTTGAGCATTTTGGAGCTCTGCTAATAGACGAGGGGTCGAGCAGTGTCTTCTTTGACATTACGATTGGAGGTGTGTTCGCTTTGTCCCTCCCTCAACCTCTCCTAGCCCCGGTCTTGGCTTATTACCAGCGACAAGCATTATCGGCATAAAATCTATCTCTTAGCAACCACTGGTAACTGATATGGGCATGTCGTGACGGTAGGAGAACCATTAGGACGGATCCAATTCGAACTCTTCGCCGACACAGTGCCCAAGACAGCCGAGAACTTCCGGCAATTCTGCACGGGCGAGAGCAAAAATCATGTCGGCCGACCTCAGGGCTACAAAGGATCTAAATTCCATCGCATTGTAGGTGACCGCTGCTAGACATCTTGGCATTTCATCTGAGGTGAGCCTGAAGATCGATTACGCGCGAGCTAACACCCGCTCTTGTGGCCGCTGTGCAGATCAAAGATTTTATGTGCCAGGGAGGTGACTTTCTCAATGGTGATGGGACAGGCTCAACCTGCATTTACGGCACCACGAAATTTGCAGACGAGAATTTTATTTTGAAACATACCGAGCCTGGTCTACTTTCCATGGCTGTACGTCTGCTACCCCATACTATATGAAATTGTCCACTGATGAGAAGCTGTCGTCTCCAGAACGCTGGACCCAACGATAACGGCTCGCAATTCTTTATCACTACCGTACCCACGCCATTCCTCGATGGAAAGCATGTCGTTTTTGGAAAGGTATTTGATGGCCTCGAAGTCTTGCGCAAAATGGAGAATGTCAAGACTGGCTATCGCGGCAAGGACGTGCCGAATATGGACGTTGTGGTTGCAATGTGTGGAGAAATGTAATAAGCCAAGGGCGATTTGGGGGTGCACGAGAAGAGACATAGTCACCGGACTAGCACGGTCTGCTGACGTACGGCGTAGACAATGCTCAGTATTTAGCACGTTTTCTTAGAAGTCCGAGCACGATTAGTTTAGAAATTCATACTATGCCCGACTTAAGTCTGCTGGAGGATAATGGAGCAGTATTACGATCTCCATAAATCTTACACGTGTTCTACACTATCCCGACGGTTCTGCCACTCAAACACGCGATTCTTCATTCGCAAAGTGATCGTAATACATCGTCTAGTGCGCTGGAGTGAGGAGTATCCGGATCTAGTAGCTGCCTTCGGGTGCGGGTTGTGCGCCGGTTTCGTTGCCATCGCAGCACGGGGAAACAAACAATCAGGCCGCAATCAGCTTACTGTCAGCAGATGATTAGCATAGCACATGAGAGACGAGGGTGGCCATCGACCAGTCCTCGTGCCCAATTAGGTTATGAGGGGAGGAGATGGCGCGCGCACTTATTGACTCAGCGAATTAGGCGTGCGGTGAGGTATTCACGTGGGTTTTGGACTAATAGTATCGGCTCTGCGGTGACTTCCTTCATTGACATCACTTTATACCTCCGGAAACCTAGAGAGCAGTCAAATACTATCAGAATTGAAAGTGGTAACCATGAAAAATGAGTCTCCAGCAACCGCCATTTTTACTCTGCCGAAACCTGACAAGGGCCCTAAGCAGTTTGGCGATGCAAACACGAAGTGAGCACATGGAGCTCGATTCGTATCTTTATAGAAGAAAATTACCCGGAGTCCACAGTCCAAGCTGTCCATGTGGTTACAAATCGCAGAACCTCAAGCACATGATTATGTCCTGCCCTCGATGGTTAAATGGAGGAGAAATTTGGAGACGAGCCAAAGATGGGTCCTACGAAGCTATGATAAACGAACCTGAAGACATCAGAAGGATGACACAGTGAATCCTAAGTCATAGTTGGATTGAGCTGTTCCAGATGACAAAGGCGGTCGAAACGCATCTGAGGGAAAGGGATATGTCAAGCCATTTTTGAGGTCGATAGAGATAATGTGATTGGTTTACATAGAGGGCACTACATTGTGACTTCACTTCCAGAGGGATATAATAGAAAAATATTGACGATAAAGGGAAGGCTTAAGGGGTCTCACCAAAAGGTTTCCTGTGTAAAGATTAGAGTTTGTAGACACCTGCATGGACCCATAGGGCGCCAAATTAGGATAATGAAATCAGATTAAAACACTCCATTATTGATTCAGCTATCTAGCATTGTCACGCGATGAGAGTTTGTAAATGCTGAATTAACTAGGACTTTGGTTATTCTCACTCTAAATTACAATTGCGAATACCGCTTTGGGATATGTTTGTTTACACAGAACAGTCGACTCGCGTTCGTGCATGCCCACCTAAGGCAAGTTTCACAAGGGTAAGCTCGTGGCCACTCACCCCATAGTCCCAGCGGACTGCCGTTGATTCGCACAGTCGGAGCAGGTCGTGGGAGGCTACCAGTTGCTGCTCCGTGATGCATGGCTATCTCAAACCAAAGGAGATTCTCACGCGAAGCGCTGCGCTACGAGACTCAGTGCTATCGAAGGCACACATTTTTGTGGAGAGGACTATCCTATGCTTCCCAAGTCTACGGACCGAGAAATTCTCCGAGCCACAGCACATGCAGGTTTTGACTCGACATGCTTCGACACTGCCTCGGCATAAAGCCATCAATACTGAAAGACCTGGCGACGTGAGCTACCCCGGGAAGGGAGGCTGGAAAAACTTTGCTGCATCCGAGAGCTTGTGGCGTTCTAATGTATGTCTAAAGGCTCAGCAGCTAGCTGAGGACAGACTGTATGACATCCTTTAGGAACATGCGCCACTACCCGAGTGGCACGGGCCCTAGATACCTCTCGACTTCGGGGATTCGGCCAATCTCTACAACGCCTCGTTGCCACAACAAAGCCGGCCCATCCTGAACCTTAAAACATATTTACTCTCTGGAAATTTCCCGCTCTCCACGTCTTATCCAAAACCCAGAAAGATAGCGAACCCCACCAGGTCTCTTTTCCATACCAACTCATTGAGCTACTCTTCTAGGCCATTTCTTCACGACGCTTGTTCACTTGATTAAATTAGAGTGTCCTGACAGCATACTAAAAGACATATCATAAAAGTGATAAGGGCTAGTACAATACCTTTGATCAGCAACGAGCCTAGGGAATATCGGTAGTTAGAAATAATGCGTCATGATTTGTGCATCTCCGAGAAGTGGCTCTATAGTGCACTAATCAGTCAAAATTTATACTCCAAAATTCCTTTCAACCGAAATCTTAATAAGAAAATGGCTTGTCGTATTGCTAGGGTTGAGTTAAACCTTGGCGTAGTTGAAAACTCTCACCCCTAGATTTTCGAGGCTAACCTAGACGAGTTTCGTCGCTCTCCAATTGCCATCTAAATCGCCATCCTTTCGAAATCTTTGGGCTACAAATGTTATATATTGTGAAGTCGATGCTAACCTAACCCGTAGATTGAACTAGACATGTGGCACACTACGGGCAGATGGGTGGAGCCTGGAACTATGCGCAACTAGTTCTGGCTGGACATGACTATTTACGGGCCAATTCAGCCAGGATAAATCACACAGCTACCGTCACGCATCTCATTCGAAAGAGACCGTGGATGCTACTCAAAAGCGCCGTGGAGACTTACCTACAGGGGCTATGCAAAGGCTTTGCACCCGACTCTGCTGTTTCACACTCTTCATTAATCGGCTCATCCCATTATGAGAATTACCCATCCAAATTCGAGTCTGCGTAAAGCTGATAGTGGGTCAATCAACGTGTACAAATTGTACTCCTAAGGTTAATAAAGTCACGGTGACCAGCAAAAGGGACTTATCAAATTCGCTTAGTTTCCGGGAGGTGCAGAGGTAGTGACAAGCAGCTGACTAAAGGAAATACCAATGAGCGTGAATGCCTTCCTCCGCGGATAGGTAAGGGGGAGGCTAGGACATGCAGCATTGCCTTTGAGTTCTGGCTCCAGGCCTGATTACTAGAAGGAAATTTTAGTTACCTACATCTTTTCGCCGGAGGCTGACCAGAAGTAGAGTCACGCTGACTGGTGCAGACCAGCCCGATCACGTCGAGGGTAATAGTGGCATAAGGCACGACATTGACTCGAGAGCGCCTCTCCTTTCGTAAAAGCAGGGTGGCTAAGCAAGAAGATAATCCCGCTTTTCCAAAAACCCCGACGAACATACTGGGTCATCCCCCGAGGACAAGCGGTTCCCAATAAAGGAGCATAGAAGGCTTAGACAACGAGGAAGTAAGGTTTTAACATGTCGGCAAAGGGCAACCCGAGAGGAGTCAGGCCCTACGAGTCGTACCTGGAACCGATTGGGTGATGCCTTACCAGTCACAAATTATGCCCTCGTCGCTGTTACAGGTGATAGTCTTGGCAAAGAGGCACCGACTTAAACCTTAACGCTCGATCGTGACTCCACTGGCAAATATACGATGGCGTAGGGGCCTTAGCGAGAAGATCAGCACCACTCAACCATATGCGTTATTATCAAGCGAAGACGATCCCCATTTCCCTGTGTGGAATATGCGTCAAACCAATAAAAGCTTTGTAAGCTATGTGCAGGGGCACTGAGGGAACGATAGAACGGGATCTACCTTGGCTCGAAATTTCCTTGGAGGGATGCGTGGAAACCAGTGATGATGAGTGTGTGTTTGTGTTTTATTGTACTACTTGAGTCTATGACTATCTAGCACATTGGGCTCCTCTCTGACCCAGGCCACACCTTGTACAGTGCTCCTATCCTCTTTTGTTACTTGAAAGATCATTGATATATTCCCCTTGATGAATAGCCATTCAGCTCAGTATTTACCCGTGGAATTCAGCCACCTTTTCCACGGAACCTTCTACCCAAAAAAAATAAAAATGGTAGCAATGGAAACTGCGTGCGCGGAAAGAAGTCTCAAAAAACCTGCAGCCCCAGCCAGGCGAGGCCTAGACACCGGGACCACATGAGGTGCGCATATTCATCTATATCTCCCTTCTTCGTAACATTCGAGGTCGACTTGATCCAATCCACCATCTCCGTATCGGGTGCTGGGTACGCTCCGGAAACTCATCGGATGGCTTTTCCTCCATGATCAAGGGTGGGTGACGAGTAGGGCTCCGACCCTACCATCTGATCTGATCGTGGTTAGCTTCATGATAGTGGTGATAGGGGAATGTGTTGAGAGATGAAGACGATAAAGACCGCGAAAGCGATTGGGAATCCTCTTCGAAGTGAGGACTTTGTTACTCAATCTCGGCTCTGCAGACTCTACAGTGAGAGCTGGAGGTTCGTAGGGGACACCACTGACAGGTGTTGAGAATAGTCCCCCAACCAGTGATGATCATTATGAACGTTGGCCCCTCCTATATCATGATGAGCTAGTTTTAGCATAGGATTATCGAGTATAAGATGTTGTAATGGCTTGGATCAGGGACGTTGCCTGGCAAACTTCGACACAACGGCTCCACGAGGTACGAATTCCTAGGTATTTAGCGCGCATCGGCTCACTTTGCCCACGGATAGCCTCTTTTCGGAATTTAAGCTCCGGCTGCGAAATCTCCGCGGGCACGGTGTACCTATTCGAATGACTCCATGCGAAACGGCTGGCTCTCTGACCACCCGAGATGCATGAGATCGTCCGGTAACTCGATCCCTCTTGAAGAATTCTTCAAACTTTTAAGCCTCGTCCTTGCTGGTGTACACAGCTAACCAACGATTCACCTGGGTTGCTATTAAGATAAATTTATGCGCCACACTTCCTCTTCCTGCCTATGGTCGGGAACATGCCGATCAACTTGGTGCCAGAGTAACAGACGACTTTTACTGATTCGCGCTCAGAGAACTCGCGGTCTTCTCCATACCGAGTCCTTCCATATAGCCAGGCGACTGTTCGTAGCTAAATTGTACGCAAGGGTTGTTAGTGTGG